TCGCGTTGAGTCGGATTTAGCTGTTGTGCGGGTGTTGGTGGTGCTTCGTCGACTGTGACTGGTGTCGTTGTTCCTGCTGCTGCTGATGTTGTCGCTGCTCCCGATGTTGTTGCTGCTGCTGCCGATGTTGTTGCTGCTGCCGATGTTGTTGCTGCTGCCGATGTTGTTGCTGCTGCCGATGTTGTCTCTGCTTCTGTTGTTTGTTGAATCGTCGCTAACGCTCGTGTTCGTTCTGCTTCAAGGATAGTGTGGGAGTACCAAAAACCTCCCGGGCTGAAGTCGGGGTCGAGATCTGGAGGGTGTGTCCAGTCAGTAAAATTCACGATGGCGTCGCTGTCTGCAGTGCCCAGGTCAGGAACGAAGTCGAGGACGAAGACGTTGTTCTTCAATACTGCTTTCCCAATGTAGAGGCCGCCTCTCCCGTGGTATAGCTTGAACTCCTGGGTGGTGCTGTTGGCTTCCAGGTGAATCCCCTTCGCCATCAACTGGCTAACACTCAGTAAGTTGTAACCGAGTCCTTCAGCGATGAGTACCTTTGACATGTGCAGTATGACATTTGTTTCTCTTGACTGAAGCTGTACCACTCCTTGTCGTCGTGTGCGCAGGTTTTGATTGTTGGCGACCGTGATGACAACTTCTCGTTGGAGTCGGTGTTCGCGTTGTACGAAGCGTCCGGACGAGCATGTCAGAATATTATTCTTATGTTCTAGCCTGTAGTGGGGTGCTCTATAGCGAGTACAACCCTTCTAGGGTTTGCTATTTGTATCCCCATTTCTGCTAGTTCATTCCTCTTTCTTCTTCTAACTTTTGTCATGCTATCAGAGCAGGTCGATCCCTTTGGATCGATCCTGTGGGTGGGTTACCACCTCGCTTCCGCTGCTACCTTTCCCTTCCCGCCGTGCGCCCCGAGGCGCGCGGCGGTTTTCCTTCCCGCCGTGCGCCCCGAGGCGCGCGGCGGCTTTCTTCCCGCCGTGCGCCCCGAGGCGCGCGGCGGTTTTCTGCCCGCCGTGCGCCCCGAGGCGCGCGGCGGTTCATTGCCCGCTGTGCGCCCCGAGGCGCGCGGCGGGCTTCTCCCCTACGTCGCGGCCCCGCCCCGATCGTCGCGGCCCCGCCCCTCGACGCGGCCCCGCTCTACGTCGCGGCCCCGCCCTGGCCCGTCGCCGCCCGTGCGCCTGCCCGGCTCGGCCCCGCCCTTCGTCGCGGCCCCGCCCCGGCCCGTCGCCGCCCGTGCGCCTGCCCGGCTCGGCCCCGCCCTACGTCGCGGCCCCGCCCCGCTCGTCGCGGCCCCGCCCCTTGTCGCGGCCCCGCCCTCCAACCAGGCCCGTTTTGGGCCCCTTTCACCACACCGCCTCCCCAAGCGGCCCCCTCAGGTCGCCACGACGGACGACGGGAGGGGCGAGCTGTGGGGTGGCGGGTATGGGGGTGGCCGGTGTGCCTTCCTCCCTTTCTCCTCCTCCTCCTTCGTCTCCCACTGCTGCAGCTGTCGCTGAGGGGGGTGGTTGTGTGGGAGACTGGGTTTAGGGTTTAAGGGGGGTGCGTGGGAGTGGAGCTAGCGGTGTAGCAGTGGGTGTGTATGAGGGGGGTGGGACTGTGTGTGGGAGGTTGAGCGGAGGTTGCCAGTTTGTCGTCCGCAGCACCTGTAGTCCGGGGCGCTGTCCCGGTAGCCCAGTGAGCTTGTCGCTGAGCCGGTCGCCTGTGGGTCCGTTGCCCGTCTGCTGCTACTTGAGCCGCGGGGCCTGTTACTCCCGTAGTCCGGGGCGCTGTCCCGGTAGCCACTGTGCTCGCCACTCCTGTTGCCCGTGTGTCTGCAGCTTCAGCCGCCGCCTTCTATCTCCTCTCCTCTCACTCTCCCTCCTCCTCCTCACTTGCCCGTTGTGACCACTGCTAGCTTTGCTCATAATTGTTAACTTTGAACTACTTCTTCTTGACCTTGTGCTCAGAATGCGTGGTGACATTGTGATCCACCCTGAGCTTGTACTGTTTTGCCTGCTCTGCTGATTACACCCCACTTTGGCTATGGGGGTGTGTCAGAATATTATTCTTATGTTCTAGCCTGTAGTGGGGTGCTCTATAGCGAGTACAACCCTTCTAGGGTTTGCTATTTGTATCCCCATTTCTGCTAGTTCATTCCTCTTTCATTCTCGTTCACTTCTTCTCAGAGCACATGTGTTGCGCGCAGCAACTATCCAAGAACCAAGTGTCTTGGCCGGACGGTTCACTTTGAGCGATGGCGGCGTAAGTCGGATTCGGGTGGAGTGATTCGCGGCGGGGCGTCCTGTTGTCGAGCTCCTCTTCTGGTGAGTAGTGGGATGGTGACTCTGTTATGCAAGAATCGTTTATCTTGACCATGCAGTTGACTATGTTTCTTGCTCCTTGTGCAGGTTGTCCAGTTGAAGTCGTTGAAGCTTGAATCGTGGTTGTCGGACTTGCTTGTGTCGAAGCAACTTGGGAGCTTGAAGGCCGCAGTTGTCGCTGTGGTGTTGTCTGACGGGACGGGCAATGCGTGCATGGATGTCCTGATGTTTTGCAGATGTGACAAAACGGAGGTACTAGCTTCGGCTGTTGCTGTCGGTTGTTGTAGTTGTTGTGTCGTCGCTGAGTATGGAAAGCGAACTCCGGTGCTGATGCCCTTTTCTTGTGCCTTTCTTCTTGCAGGTCCATGTCCTGCTGCTCGGCGTGGATTTCGGCGCAAAGTGCTGCTTCAGAGATTCTTCCGTGGGCTCGAAGAATTGCTTTGGTGGCGCGCCACTGAGGACCGAGGCCACCGATGATGACTGTCACGAAGGCGTCTTCAGAAATTGATCCTCCGCATCGAAGAAGCTTGTCGCGCAATTCGCGACATCGGCTGATATACGCCAGTCCCTTTTCTCCTGGTTTCATTTCAACTGTTGTCAATTGCGCCATTAACCTGCTCTGGCTTACACTGTCTGTTGCCTGATACAGGTTCTTCAGATGGCCGTACGCGAGTTCCGCCGAGTTGCCGAAGTTCCGGTAAGAGCGAATGTTCTGCTGCTGAGTTGGTGTGATGTTTCTCAGTAGAATAGTATACGCCATCATCGATTGATACGTATACTGCTGCTTCTCATACTGTGTGCCGTTTGCTGGATACTGCAGGGATCCGTCGAAGAAGCCGAGTATCTGCGCGCCCTCCATCATCAGCTCGAATTCAAAGGACCAGGTGAAGAAGTCCTTTCCGTCGAAGGGTCTTGATGTTTGCAGTTTCAGGACATGCGCGAATTGTGACTGAACTTGTAAAGCGTCCATTGGTTTGTCTTGCGTAGGTGAAGGTTGAGGCAGGAAGCTGATCGACCCGCGCTCGTACGGGGCAAAGGTGGGTTGCTGCTGTTGATTCCCTCGCGCATATGACGATCCGTCAAGGCTCATGGGTGTCGCTCCGTTGTTGCTGTTGTGTGTCTGTGCAGGTCCCGACTGCTGGTGTTGCTCGTAGAAGGACATGAAGGAGAAAAATTTCTCCATCATGCTCTGGTCGAAGTCAGAAGGATGGTTCGTGGGGGTCTCGGTTGACGTTCCCCTTGGTCTTGCTGCCGTGCCTTCCTCTGTCTGCAGGCCAGAGGCTGGCGGTGGAGTAGTAGTAGTGCCCGAGGAGCCATTAGGGGAGCTCCTTTCCTTGTTTGTTGCCATGTCTTGTAATGATCAAAAATTAGAGTTTTCCCCTGTCAGCTCTCATACCATGTTGGGCTGAGAAAGCCCTTAAGGATCTTTGCCAAGGATAACTCTGGGTAGGATATTTGTAATAGCGGAAGCGTTTAATGAAGTTTGTGAACCGACCTTGCACTAGTGTGTGAGAGCAAAGTGGATTGAATTAAACAAGCAAATACAAGGTTTTATAAGAGTACAGGGAATACGAATGGATAGATAACTGTATTTGCTGTTGCGATTCGATAGAGTGCGACTCGGGCAACTGCTCTGCAACGAGTCAGTTGTGTGTCCTTAACTGTCGCGCTGTAATTGTCGAGTCAAAGGTCGCTGACCTTTGACTTTCCCGTAACCTCCAGGCGGTTACCCTAACCTCCGAGGTTTGACTCGATGCTTCGATTCGGACTGCTTCGCTAGTGTCTTGGGTTTTGACACGACAGAAGCGCACTAAGACTTATTGTTTCCAACATCTTCCACTGCAAGTGGTCCAAGAGGTGAAGTGGCCCAAGTGGCCCACAATATCCTCGTACTCGGTTTTGCGGCATTAATCAACAATCTTGAAGTGAAGTCAGACCCCTGATTTTGTTTCACATCTTTTCTGTTTTATAAAAAAATATACCATATCATAAGACCCGGGTATTATATAGGATTTTCCTTTGAGGAGACCAACCCCATTTTTTTCCAGTGGTTTTCATAATACCCTAGGGTGTTTTATCCGGGAGAATACGGTACATCTCTATGAACAAACGTCTACCTTTTATTACTTGCAGATTTTGAGCAGGTCTTCAAAACTTTCATTAAGTATGCAATGCAGTACAAACACCAATTCACAACATGGATCATTTATATATATCAATCCTTTCCTCCATACTTCTTCAGTTTCTTGCGGAAGCTTCGCTTGCGGCTGAATGCACTTTCCTGTTGAACAAAGGGTGGGGAGGAATGGAAAATGACTCCGCAAGAACAAGACTCACAGCTGAGTGCAAACTTTTCAAAGCGCGCACTCCAGTAGCACAAAACTGACAAGGAACGGGATGAAACACAGCCAACAGATTCAGATGCCACACATCCCAATCACCATGCTTTCCCCCTTCTCCCCCATCTCACCACAAGCCCCACTCCCCCTCCCCTTTCCCCAGCCACTACATGTGTTCTTCCCATTCTGCACTGCCTCCCATCTCACCACATGGCCTCTGAAGCACTCACCGTGCTCTCCCTCCTATGAAGCACTCACCGTGCTCTCCCTCCTCAGCACTCACCGTGCTCTCCCTCCTCTGCAGCACTCACCGTGCTCTCCCTCCTCTGCAGCACTCACCGTGCTCTCCCTCCTCTGAAGCACTCACCGTGCTCTCCCTCCTCTGCACTGCTGCCCTCACGGCCTCAGCCAACGGCGCGCTGCCAGCTGTGTACAGGCTCGTGACGCGCCCGGGCCTGCCCGCCCTGCCAGTCCGGCCCACGCGGTGCAGAAAGTCCACAGCGTTGAGAGCGAACTCGGCCTGGGAGGTGAAGGAAGAAGAAGTGGGGGTTGCGAGGGGGGAAGCAGGTGATTTGAGTTGGCAAGCCCTGCTCTGCCCCGTTGAGAGCAAACACAGCCTGGCAGAGGAAGACACTTGAAGGGAGGCCGATCGAGAAAGGGAAGAAATTGAGTGCAGTGAATTTCGGTTTGATGTCCACTCTTCGCCCTGCCAGCCGTGACCCGCCCTGCCTGCAGACAGAGGAGATCTCTCCTGCAGTGTGAAGTCAACGTTCTCTCCCCATACGCCCTGGAGCATTTCGAGTCGACTCCCCATCCTGGAGCGTTCACTCCCCATACGTGCTGGCCTACCAGGCGTGCCAAAACTGCCTACATAATGCAGAGAGTCAACACCATCAGAAAATGTCCTCTTCCTCGCTCACGTGCGCCCATCTTCCCCCCTCCCCAACACCCCTTCTCCCCCTCTCCTGCACCCCTTCTCCCCCTCGCCTGCACCACGTGCCACACATGCTCACCTGCACCACGTGCGACACATGCTCACCTGCACCACGTGCGACACATGCTCACCTGCACCACGTGCGACACATGCTCACCTGCACCACGTGCGACACATGCTCACCTGCACCACGTGCGACACATGCTCACCTGCACCACGTGAGACACATGCTCACCTGCACCAGGTGCGACACATGCTCACCTGCACCACGTGCGACACATGCTCACCTGCACCACGTGCGACACATGCTCACCTGCACCACGTGAGACACATGCTCACCTGCACCACGTGAGACACATGCTCACCTGCACCACGTGAGACACATGCTCACCTGCACCACGTGAGACACATGCTCACCTGCACCACGTGAGACACATGCTCACCTGCACCACGTGAGACACATGCTCACCTGCACCACGTGAGACACATGCTCACCTGCACCACGTGAGACACATGCTCACCTGCACCACATGAGACACATGCTCCACATCAATTCCCCGTGAAGCAGCATCCGTGCACACCAGCACGCCCCCTCCTTCTTGGAACCTTCTCAGTGCGCGCTCCCGCTCGTCCAATGGCACGTCCTTGTGGTACACCGCACACCACGCCACGTCAGCAGCTCTCCCTGCTGCCACGTCAGCAGCTCCTCCTGTGGCCCCCTCATCGGTTACTCCTGCTGGCGAAGCAGCAGCAGAGGTGGACAGGTGGCGCTGGAGGAGCCGGCCAATGGCGTCCACCGATTCCACGTCATTGGCAAAGACCATGGTCCGTTGGATGCTGTCCTGCTGCTTTGCACCCGGCGGACCATTTTCACCGCTCTCCACCCCTTCATATGTCTGCCCAGTCAGTGCTCTGAGCAGTGCAGCGGCTCTCGAGCTGTCATCCACCTGATGCCAGTCGTGCCGTACGCTGACATGCAGGGGGTTGAGAGGGGTCGGGAAGAATGGGGAAGAGGGAGAAGCAGGATCGATGGAAGGAGAGGAGAGGGGCGAGTGGGGTTGGATTGGCAGGTGGCGAACTGGCATACACCTGAGGCTGATGCCCGGTCGCTGTACTTTAGACGAGGCAGGATTGGGAGGACGATGAGGAAGGGAAGCGGGGAGTGGCTAGTGGATTGATAGCTCGTAGCAGCCCTCTCTTGAGCCACACAGGCTTAGGTGTGCATGGGTGTACAGGAGAGGTGTGCGGTGATGAGCACTCACAAGGGGTTGTGGCGGTGCAGCAGGCCACCGCTGACCCACACGGCGGCAGGGAACTGGCGGGCCAGCACCTCCCCCACGCTCCTCTTGGTGCCCACCGGCATGGTGGCCGCCACAAACACATACTGCTTGCTCCGCGCATACTCCCTCCTCCTCCTCCCCCACTTCGCCCTCCTACTCCCCTCCTCCCTCGCACTCTCCCGCACTCTCACCACCACCTTCCCCCCTCTGCCCGCGGCTCGCTCGCTCTCGCCCAGGCGCACAGCTGCATCCACCACTGCTGCTCTCTCCTCCCCATGCTTGCCCCCCTCCTCCCCCTCACTCCACTCTCTATCCGCCTCACCATACCCTTCCCCCTCCTCCGCTCCCTCGACCACTCTCTTCTTGCCCTGGTAAGCAGCAGAAGCTGAAGACGAGGCATCAGCGGCAGCAGCAACAGCAACAGCCTTGTGCGCTCGTCCCTCGCCTTGTTCCTGAACTACCTCTGGAACCATCTCGGTCCAATGCACCTCCTCATCCTCCTCCCTCCCTTCCTCCTCTCTTTCCCTAACACCAGATCCCCCAGCCAGCCTGGCAGCCTCGGAGCGCTCCTTCTCGTCCAATCGGAAGAGCCCGAGCAGGCGGCCAACGATCCGGGCGTACCCCCCGCCCAGCAGCATGTCGGCCTCGTCCGCCACCACCAGCGCCACGTCCCTCACGAACGCGGAGCGGCGGCGCTGCTGCGGGTCGAACGCAAAGAGATGGTTGAAGAGCGCTGCTGGCGTCGCCACCACCACGTCGGGGGGAGAGGAGGGCCACGCCTGGCGAGGAGACGGGGAAGGGGAGGGGAAGGGAGGGATTTGGGATGGGGCATTCTGAGAAGCCAGCAGCAGGTGAGGCGGGGAGGGCGTAGGCCGATACCGGAAGGGCAAGGGCTTAACACGGCAAGACGGGAAAGAGGGGCAAATTCAAGTCAACTTGAATGAAGAATTTGAGGCAGCTATTCGTGAACACTAACACGGCACGAGTAACCAAGCAAGAAGCGGCTCTCTTAGCCTAGAGTTTATAATTCTGAATTCTGTGGACCTTTCTTTCCTCACCTGCCCACCAACGACAGCCTCCACTGCGAGCAAGGGGCGGTTGTGTGCGGTGCGGAGCGACAACGCCATCTCCATGACCTGTGGTGTGGCGGGCGGCGGGCATAGACGCATGGGGACGAATGTGAGGCATGGCAGGGAATGGCGGGCATTGTTGGCATGGAGGAAAGCAGAGACAATGCAATCCCCATGACCTGTGAAGTGGAGTCAGAGAGGCAGGGGGGATGGAGGAATGGGGAATGTGAAGCATTGAGGAATGGGGAATGTGAAGCATTGAGGAATGGGGAATGTGAAGCATGGCAACCAAGTTCAGGAATGATTGGCATGGAAGGGTGGAGAGGGAGTGTAGAACGAACTTGCACTCACTTCCCCGACCCCCCTCCCATTTGTCCTCGCCACCCCACTTTCCCCGTTCATTCCGTCCCACCCTTATTGTCAGCGACCCGCCTGGCGGCACAGGGCAGCATTGGGCCACAGGGCAGCATTGGGCCACACGGCAGCATTGGGCCACAGGGCAGCATTGGGCCACAGGGCAGCATTGGGCCACAGGGCAGCATTGGGCCACAGGGCAGCATTGGGCCACAGGGCAGCATTGGGCCACAGGGCAGCATTGGGCCACAGGGCAGCATTGGGCCACAGGGCAGCATTGGGCCACAGGGCAGCATTGGGCCACACGGCAGCATTGGGCCACAGGGCAGCATTGGGCCACACGGCAGCATTGGGCCACACGGCAGCATTGGGCCACAGGGCAGCATTGGGCCACACGGCAGCATTGGGCCACACGGCAGCATTGGGCCACACGGCAGCATTGGGCCACAGCACTAGAGCAATCTTGTCACCTCCCACCCACCAACCCTCACTGCTCCGCTTTCCAGCTTTCCACCATCACAACCCCCTCCCCCTCCCCCCCCCCCCCCCCATCACACTCCCCCCATCACACCTCTGACCTCCCCATCACACCTCCCCATCACATCCCCGCTCATCCTCTCATTCACCCACCTGGCGGCACAGGGCAGCGTTGGGACAGAGCACCAGAGCAAACTTGCGTGCTCCCACCCTCCTCCTCCTCACCTCTCCCACCTCTCCCTCCTCTCCCAGCCTCCCCTCACTCCTTCCCTCACTCCTCCCCTCACTCCCCTCCTCCTCACCCGCCTTCTCCTCTTCCCTCTCTGCCATCTCCCTCCGTCTCTCCTCCTCGCGCCACGTCAGCACATGACTCAGCACAGGTGCCAGGTAGGCATGCGTTTTCCCGCTGCCCGTTTCAGCAGCCACCACCACGTCTGATCCGGATAAGATCTGGGGAATGGCGCCAGCCTGCACACAATATCGAGTGTGAGCACAATGGAGATGAAAAAGAACGAAAACAAAATCATGGGGGGGCGGGGAGGGGGACGGGGGGTGGCAGTATCTGGGTGGCAGTATCTGGGTGGCAGTATCTGGGTGACAGTCCAGGCGTGCAAACAAAATCGAGTGTGGTTATAAGGGATCTCAGAAAAACAAGCAGAAAAACGAGGGGGTTTTCTACAGACTACGGGGAATGGCGCCAACCAGCGCAGAACCCAAGCCTGGTAAGGACTACACCTCGTCCCACGCTGCAGGCTCCCTGAGATCACTCAAGGGCCAACAGGCGCTCAAAGCCTGCTCTTCACGGAGCCTCCACCCGACCTATGACAACTCCAAAGCTTAAACACCACCCCTTCTCTCTTACCACGCCGCCAACCTCAATGGCTGACTGACGGCCGCTCGAAGCGTGCCCTGCACATGGCCACCCCACGTCACACGTGTCGCATCGAGGCCGCCAATAGTCCCATGAGGAATCCAATGCCCACATGAGGAATCCAATGCCCACATGAGGAATCCAATGCCCACATGAGGAATCCAATGCCCACATGAGGAATCCAATGCCCACATGAGGAATCCAATGCCCACATGAGGAATCCAATGCCCACATGAGGAATCCAATGCCCACATGAGGAATCCAATGCCCACATGAGGAATCCAATGCCCACATGAGGAATCCAATGCCCACATGAGGAATCCAATGCCCACATGAGGAATCCAATGCCCACATGAGGAATCCAATGCCCACATGAGGAATCCAATGCCCACATGAGGAATCCAATGCCCACATGAGGAATCCAATGCCCACATGAGGAATCCAATGCCCACATGAGGAATCCAATGCCCACATGAGGAATCCAATGCCCACATGAGGAATCCAATGCCCACATGAGGAATCCAATGCCCACATGAGGAATCCAATGCCCACATGAGGAATCCAATGCCCACATGAGGAATCCAATGCCCACATGGTCGCTGCAAAGCCCTTCCTCAGTTTACAGCTCACATGGTCGCTCCGGGCCTGCCCCCCCGCATTGCCTCCCACTGCGCTGCAAGCCCACATACCACCTCGCACCTCACCTCACCTGCTTGCACCTCGCACCTGAATGGCTGACGGCCGCTCGAAACCTGCCCTGCACATCGCCTCCTCCACCTCCCCCTGCAGCCCCAGGCTCTGCCACGTCACGCCCACGTCAGCAAAGAACACGTCATCCCAGCCCGTGACGCCCACTCCCCCTTGCTGCATCGCCACCTCCGCCACTCCCCTCACTCCGCCCTCCCCTCCTTCTGCCCCCCCTTGCTGTACCCCCTCTTCCGCCACTCCCTTTCTGCTGCTCTCCCCATCTGCTTCTCCTCCGCCTGCTGCAATGTCACCACCTTCCCTCTGCCTGTTCTCGCTATACCCCTTCCCGCCTCCCCCCTCCACCGCTCCCCTCTCCCCAAGCTTCCGCTCCTTTGCCTCGCCTTCACTCTCTCCCCACGCTCTCTCCCTCGAATCTTCCCCATCCGTCTCCCCTCGTCCGCCTGCTGCTTTCCCAACAGCAGGAGCCCCTTGAGTTCCACACGCCTCGCCGTCAGATGCCCCAAACCTCTCCCTGCTCCATCCACTTCCCTCTCCTCCCTCCTCCTCCGCCCCCCTCCAATTCCCTCCCTCTGCTTCCCCAACACTCCTCGTAACCGCTCCCCATCGCCTCCCACCGTCCCCCTTCTCTTCCCTCTTTGCCCCTTCTGCACCTCCCTCCCTTTCCGCTCCCTCCCACCGCCCGGCCCTCTCGTGTCTCCCATAACCACTGAACCTGCTCAACTCGCTTTGTCTTTCCTGCCTGCGCGCCCGTCCACGACTTGCCCTGCCCTCTCTCTTCTCATGCCCTTCCTGTCTCCTAGGACCCTCCTCCTCTCCCCGAAATCTCCCCTCCTGCCCCTTAAAACCCTCTCTCTGTCCCTGAAACCCCTCGCCATTTCCCCTTGAGCGGTCTCCGCCGTCTCTCCTGAGCCCCTCTCGCCCTCCCCGGCCTTCACTGCTTGCGAATCTCTCTCGCCTTAACCCCTCTTTGTTAAAACCCTCTTCCCGAAACCCTTCTCTCCCACGCCATTCCTCGTAATCCCCAGCACTTGCGGCCCTCCTCCTGTCGTTCTCTCCCCGAAACTCCGTCCTCCCACGCCTCTCTTCCTCGCTTCTAAACCCCTCTCGCCCACTGCTATCACCATAGCTGCCGGCACTTACACCCCCTCTCCTGCCCTCCTTTCTCCACATTCTATTCCTCTCCTCTCTGAATCCCTCGCTCCCTCTCCTCTCCTCTCCTTTAAACCCCTCTCTTCCCGAACGCACTTCAGTACCCCCGTACACATCCTCGCCCCTCTTGAAACCCTCCCTCCCTCTCCGCCCTTCACCAACCCAAAAACTCTCTCGCCTATTTCCCCATTCCCCAGGTCCCCATGCGTCACTCCTACCGCTCCTAAGACCCTCGCGTCCCTTGCGCTCGTCTTCGCCCCTAAAACCCGCTGCCCTGTTCCTCCCGCCCACGCGTGGCTCCGAGTCCGTCCTGCCGTAACCCTCCCTCGCTAAACCCTTTGCGAAAAACGAGCCCTTGTCGCCACGACGCCGATGCCCTGAAGACACGTGGCGAGAGGAGGAGGATGCTGGAGCGGTTCGTCTAACCACCCCGAGGGACGGCGAAATCGGACCGACGGCGGTATGGAAGCGTGTGGAATATTCTAAAGCTAAGAAGTGACAAGATTTACGTACTAGGAAGAGTAGACGGGACGCCATGGCCACGGAGAATAGGGCAGGAAGAAATCGAGATGGAAAAAGAGACAAGTCGAGAATGTGTTGTGACGAGGCGTGTTCTTAGGTCGTGTGACATTTGAAAGTGGGTTCGGAAAATAGGTCAAACTGGAAATGGTAACCAGCTTCGCAAATGTGTGATCCGTCATTTGCTCCTAGGTGAGTGCACTCGTTGAGCGAATGAGCTTGAGCGGTATGGTTCAATTCCGTCTTGAACAAGCTTGTATCACGCCCTGACATACGTACTTCAAAAACAACTTCGAAAGTTTTGCTAGAGAGAGTATTCGAAGCAGGAAATGCGCAGGATTTAGGGTGGTCGCGAGGGTGAGTGAAGCCATCTCACCACGCTTACCCACGCACCTCGCCTCGTCGCGCCTCCCCTGGTCGCCCTGGTCGCGCCTCCCCTGGTCGCGCCTCCCCTGGTCGCCCTGGTCGCGCCTCCCCTGGTCGCGCCTCCCCTGGTCTCGCCTCCCCTCTCATTTGCGCCACCCCTCGTGGCGCCTTCCCACGTCGCGCTTCTCTTGCCCTCGGCGCGCCCCCCCTCCTCTCGTCGCGCCTCCCCTCGTCGTTTCGATTGGCTCCTCGCGGCAGCAGAGCTTGCAGCGGCGGAGAAGGCTGTCGCTGTGGACGACCCGTCGGCCACAGTAGGGTCTGCCCATGATTCTAACGGTAACGCTTCGCGCCGCGTACGTCGCGTGCTCTCAACCTCCATTACCACTCCTTGCGAGTCGCGCTAGCCTCGACAAGGCCAGCATTAGGAAGGGAACGGACCCCGTGAATTGCAACGACCCTCTCTTGAGGACTGGCGCGTTGAATGCGGAACCCTCAAAGGCTCGGACCGACCCCTTCGATCGTACCGACAGGTTAGGGACGAATACGGTTCTCAACACTAGTGGCAATGATGACGTAAGAAATGACGTCAGCGGTGACGCTAGGGATGATGACGGTGGAATCCCGCTGGATCCGCTGCGCAATCTGCGGCCATCGCTCATTGGCTCCACGTGGCAGCGCGAGTCGTGGCGGCGGAAAAAACGGCCCGTGAAGACGCCGCGTCGCCCAGAGAAGGCACGGCCGTCGCTGGTGGAGGAGATCGCGACGGCGTGGAGCAACGACCGCCGCCGACGCCGCGATGGTCGCTGGATGGTCGACACGCCGGTGAGCTTGAGACGCAATACACCTTGCGGTGCGCCGTGCTACGCGAAATTCGTTCCATGAAGATGGGATGCCACGTGGACGGAGAAGGCAATAGGGTCGGTGGGATGTGAAGGCCAACCCAGGTGCACTTGAGCACATTCTCCCTTTCCACTCTAACACGCCCCCTCTCTCTCCTCCGCTCCCCTCTCCCTGCTTCCCCCACCGCCCTACCTCCCCCCATAGTGCCCCATATCCACCTTCCCGCTTCCCTCTTCACCCCATCGCCCTTCCCCGGCCACGCTAGCCTTCCTCCAGCAGCGACCACTTCACCTTAACCGCACCCTTTCTCGCCTCTCCCTCTTCTTCTCGCTTCTCTCCCCCCGCTTCCCCCCTTCCCCTCCTCTTCCCTCCCCCTCTCTCCCCCTCCTTCCCCGTCCCGTCCTGTCCCTTCGCTCTCCCAACCATCGCGCTGGCCCCACCCCTCCTGCCCTGACTGCACAGCAAGCTGCTCCTTTCGCCTTCACCCCCTTTCGCCTTCACCCTCTTTCGCCTTCACCCCCTTTCGCATTCACCCCCTTTCGCATTCACCCCCTTTCGCCTTCACCCCCTTTCGCCTTCAACCCTTTCGCCTTCACCCCCTTTCGCCTTCACCCCCTTTCGCCTTCACCCCGTTTCGCCTTCACCCCCTTTCGCCTTCACCCCCTTTCGCCTTCAACCCTTTCGCCTTCACCCCCTTTCGCCTTCACCCCCTTTCGCCTTCACCCCCTTTCGCCTTCAACCCTTTCGCCTTCACCCCCTTTCGCCTTCAACCCTTTCGCCTTTCGCTTCAAAATCCTTTCAGCTTCGCGTCCCCCACTTCCCCCTCCCCCCGTCCTTTTTCCCGACTCCCCCAGCGCGGCATCCCCATGTGTCCCCGCCCGGACCCGCCCTGCCCCGACTGCAGGGGGAGTGGGCGAGTGGAGTGCACCCGCTGCTGCGGCCGAGGTGCGAGTGCTTGGGGGGGGGCAGGGAGGTGGGGAGGGGAGGGGGGAAGAGGGGGGGGGCGAAGGGGGTGGGGTGGGGGGGAGGGTGTGGGAACGGCGCTTTGCATGGTGGGCGCAGAGAGGTTGGTGGGGATGATGTGATGGGGTGGGGTGGGTGGATGCAGTGGTGGGCGCGGCTGGGTAGTGGGGGACGGGGGGACGAGGGGGGCACCCATCCCATGGTGGAGGGGCGAGGGAGGCACCCATCCCATGGTGGAGGGGCGAGGGAGGCACCCATCCCATGGTGGAGGGGCGAGGGAGGCACCCATCCCATGGTGGAGGGGCGTGCGTGCTGCGGGGGTGGGGGTGGAAGTGGGGGAGGGTGGGAGGTGTGATGGACAAGGGGGTGGGGGGGAGGAGGGGTTTAGCATGGCGTGGACAGGAAGAGGATTGATGGGAAGCAGTGCGATGCGATGCGGTGGTAGTTCTGTAGGCAGTTGGGGCTGGACTGGAATGGGGCGGGGCTGTGAGGAGCGAGGGGAGGCGAATCAAGTGGTGACAACGGAAGGGAGGGCTGCACATGATGCGGGCGAGGCAGGGGCACATGATTGAGGGGCTACTTGCGAGAGAGCGTTTCTTTAGCATTAGCACTTGCACTCCGTTCTTGGTTACTCTCCATCGCTTGTCTGCGTCCCTTTGTTTGATTTTCTGTTGTCGTCCTTATCCTGCCCAAAGCGTGCACTGCTGCATAAGTAATGCTCGTTCTGCTTCGACCCCTCCTGCCCCTGCCCGTGCCTGCCAGGCCGCACCAACCACGTTGACCTCGTCATGCTCCCCACCGGCTCCTGGCCGCGCTGGTAGGCTCCTGGCCGCGCTGGTAGGCTCCTGGGCTCTGTATTTGCACTCGGCGCATGCTCGCACCCATGTAGGCACACACAACACCACTGCCACTACTGTATCCTCTGCCATTTCACCTGGCTGCTTGTGACTAGCATCACAGCCACCCACATCCACCCGTACACACATCCACCCGTACACACGTCCAAAGCTGTAGCGCTGGAATCTGCAAGTGCTGGCAGCGCTCGGCTCCCAGGTGCTGCTTCCGCCGGGGCACTGGTGCTGCTATTCCCGCATTGCCTGGGCTTATCTCCCTCTCCCCCTCTTCCCCCCCAAACCCCACTCCGTCCTCCCCGGCGCAGGTGCTGGTTCTGCAGGGGCAGTGGGCGGTGCTACTGCGCGCGCTGCCTGGGCACGGGGGAGAAGCGCGGCCTCATCGGCTTCCACTGACCACCCGCCTCCTTCATCGCCACCCACTCATCGCCGCCTCCCTTGTGTGCTTGGCGTCTTTCATCTCATGCGGTCACAGTGCCTGTGTCCTCCACTTGGGGTGCAAGCGGAACGCAGCATGAGCTGCCATTCGCATGCAGTGAAGTGCCTGTGCTGTGCAACACACTCCTGTGCCATGGAGGGGAGGAGGGGAAGAGGGGGTACACCTGTGGCGTCTGCTGGCATGGCAACGTTCACTACTGGCATCCATGGCTCTCATCCCGCATTCACTGCTGTTTGGATGTACATTGCTGTATATTTACGCTAGCCATATTAATCACCAGTTATTGTAGGGACAATCCACTGCTAGCAACAATTATACCTTGATTGCACCCAAAACGCTGAAGCCTAGTGCTTATTATATGTATAGCTTGTGCCCCAAAATATCGAACAGCTAGATGGTGGAGGCGTATCTTGCGTTGTGAGTCTCTGAAAGCAGCGTACATTCCGCGTTCGGATCAATCACGCGTCGGTTGCCATGCGCATGTCATCGCCGCCCGTCATGCCGCCGGATCCCTTGGCGGCGAGCCGTTCTCCTGGCGAGGCGAGAGAGAATCCCAAACCCGCCCGCGCCTCGCACGCTCGTCGCGCTGCCGTCCCGCTGCTGCGCGCCGTCCGTTCTCTGCTTGCGTCACTTGACCAACAGCGATGCGCAGACGTGGCAGCGAGCGACTGTTTGGAAGATGCAGTGAGCCTGCTGTGCGACCGCCTGGAAGTCCTCCGCGCCGCCCACTCGCGGCTGGACGGCACGCGGCGCGGGGAAGGGCAGAGCGGGGAAGGGCAGAGCGGGGAAGGGCAGAGTGGGGGAGGTAAGAAGGCGGAAGGGAAAAGCAGGAGAGGCAGGAAGAAGGCTCGGCGCGGCGAGAAGGGGAAGGAGAGGAAGGGAGAAGTGGATGTTGGGCGCAGGGGGGAAGACGCGCGGACGTCTGGCGGCACGGCGGGTGAGATCAGGGCGACGGTCGCGCGATGTACACTGGCCGAGGGGGAGGGGGGGCTGGCGGAAGGGGAAAAGGGCGATGGCGGACTAGCGGGTGGGGGGAAGGGGAGAGGGATGGGGGAGAGAGAAGCGCGCGTGATGGCGAGGGCGGTGGCGGTGGCTGGCAGCGGCGACTGGGGCGCGCTGCTGGCGTGCGGGCAGTGCTGGGGGGGCGGCGGAGAGGGCGGAGAGGGCGGAGAGGGCGGAGAGGGCGGGGAGGGCGGGGAGGGCGGAGAGGGCGGAGAGGGCGGAGAGGGCGGAGAGGGCGGGGAGGGCGAGTGGGAGCACGTGTGTCGGCGCTTCCCTGCTGCCCTCGATGCCATCGAGTCTGCTGCTGCCTCGCTCCTCCTCCTCCTCTGCCACTCCCTGCGCCACTCCCCTACCCCTCCACACCCACCGCCATCTCAACGCCCCTCCTTTTGTTCCGCCTCTCACCCCCCCTCCCGCAGCCCTCTACTCCCCTCGCCCATCGTGCTGCCCCTACGCGCGCCCTTCCACCGCCTGCTCCCCCTGCTGCTGCGCTCCCCCTGCCCCTCCGCGCGCCTACAGGCTGCGCGCGCCCTCGCTCTGCTGCTCGCCGCTATCGCCCGCGGCGTCACTCGCGGCCGCGGCTGCTTCCAGTGGGGGCGCGCGCTGGGGGGGACGCAGAGGGGCGCGCAGGAGGGCATGGGCGCAAGCAAGAGGGGTGGGGGGTTGCGAACAGAGGCGAGGACGAGGGGAGAGGAGGTGGGAGGGTGGATGAGGACGGAGGGGGTGGAAGGGCAGGGTGGCGGAAGGGAGAGGGCAGCAGGAGGAGCAGGGCGAGGGCAGGAGGAGAGGGAGGATGGCGCAAGAGGTGGCAGGGCGCTCTTGTGTTCTGCAGTGGGCGCGTGCTCTGGTGCAGGGGAAGCAAGGGGGGAAGCAATGGGGGAAGCAATGGGGGAAGCAATGGGGGAAGCAATGGGGGAAGCAAGGGGGGAAGCAATGGGGGAAGCAATGGGGGAAGCAATGGGGGAAGCAATGGGGGAAGCAATGGGGGAAGCAATGGGGGAAGCAATGGGGGAAGCAATGGGGGAAGCAATGGGGGAAGCACGGGGGGAAGCAATGGGGGAAGCAAGGGGGGAAGCAAGGGGGGAAGCAATGGGGGAAGCAAGGGGGGAAGCAATGGGGGAAGCAAGGGGGGAAGCAATGGGGGAAGCAATGGGGGAAGCAAGGGGGGAAGCAATGGGGGAAGCAAGGGGGGAAGCAAGGGGGGAAGCAATGGGGGAAGCAAGGGGGGAAGCAATGAGGGAAGCAAGGGGGGAAGCAATGGGGGAAGCAATGGGGGAAGCAATGGGGGAAGCAATGGGGGAAGCAATGGGGGAAGCAATGGGGGAAGCAATGGGGGAAGCAATGGGGGAAGCACGGGGGGAAGCAATGGGGGAAGCAAGGGGGGAAGCAAGGGGGGAAGCAATGGGGGAAGCAAGGGGGGAAGCAATGGGGGAAGCAAGGGGGGAAGCAAGGGGGGAAGCAATGGGGGAAGCAAGGGGGGAAGCAATGGGGGAAGCAAGGGGGGAAGCAAGGGGGGAAGCAAGGGGGGAAGCAATGGGGGAAGCAAGGGGGGAAGCAATGGGGGAAGCAATGGGGGAAGCAAGGGGGGAAGCAATGGGGGAAGCAAGGGGGGAAGCAATGAGGGAAGCAAGGGGGGAAGCAATGGGGGAAGCAATGGGGGAAGCAATGGGGGAAGCAATGGGGGAAGCAATGGGGGAAGCAATGGGGGAAGCAATGGGGGAAGCAATGGGGAAGCACGGGGGGAAGCAATGGGGGAAGCAAGGGGGGAAGCAAGGGGGGAAGCAATGGGGGAAGCAAGGGGGGAAGCAATGGGGGAAGCAAGGGGGGAAGCAAGGGGGGAAGCAATGGGGGAAGCAAGGGGGGAAGCAATGGGGGAAGCAAGGGGGGAAGCAATGGGGGAAGCAAGGGGGGATGCAAGGGGGGAAGCAATGGGGGAAGCAAGGGGGGAAGCAAGGGTGGAAGCAATGGGGGAAGCAAGGGGGGAAGCAATGGGGGAAGCAATGGGGGAAGCAATGGGGGAAGCAATGGGGGAAGCAATGGGGGAAGCAATGGGGGAAGCAAGGGGGGAAGCAAGGGGGGAAGCAATGGGGGAAGCAAGGGGGGAAGCAAGGGGGGAAGCAATGGGGGAAGCAAGGGGGGAAGCAAGGGGGGAAGCAAGGGGGGAAGCAATGGGGGAAGCAAGGGGGGAAGCAGTCGGGGGAGAAAGGCAGGAAGCAACAGTTGGGGGAGGCGGAGCAACAGTTGGGGTAGGCGGAGCAACAGTTGGGGGAGGCGGAGCAACAATTGGGGGAGGCGGAGCAGCAGCAGGGATGGTGGAGAGTGCGGGGGTGCGGTGGGTGGTGGAGGCATACGGTGCCATGGTGCCGTCACTGCATCGCATGCTCTCCCACTCACACCCTCGCCTCGTGCTCGCTGCCCTCACTGCCCTGCACCACCTCCTCACTCTCGGTCCGTACCCTCCCTCCCCGCCCCTGCCTTTTCCTCCTTCCACCACCCCCCTGCGTGGTTGCTCGGCCTTTTCGCCTCATTCCACTGTTCCTTGCGCCTTTTGTGCTGCTCTGCCTCATGCTGCTTTCCACTCTGCTCACCCTACTTCACCTCAACCTCCTCCCTCTCCCCCCTCTCTCTCCCTCCCACCACCTTCCCCCCCTCTCCATCAGACCCGTTGCCAGCAGCCAATCGCATCGCGCGCATGGCGCTGCCTGCCCTCGCCCGCCTGCTGCACGCACACCCCCTCCCTCCGCCTCGCGTCGCCCCCTCCTCCTCGCCCACCGCTGCTGCCCCTGGCCTGGGTGATGGCTCTCGGGGAGGGCCAGCGGGCAGGGCGACGCAGGCAGCGCCAGGGGCAAGAGAGCAGGGCGCAGCGGAACGCGCAGCAGAGAGGGAGGGGCACGCAAGCTTGTCCGCGCTGCACCGCTGCTCGTGTGCCACGTTGCTTGGCCCTGCGTGCGTGTGGCAGCGCTGTGCTCGCCTCTCCGCCTCCATCCTCGTGCGCCTCGCCGCCTCCTCCTCGCTGCGCCTCTCTGCCATCCTCGCCCTCCCCCTTGTGCGCCTCTGGCTCTCCACCGCCACTACCACTCCCTGTGCCACTGCCAGCCATGGGAGTGCCAGCGATGGGAGCGGGGAGATGCCCGGAGCAGGAGGCGATGAGGGAGTGAGGGAGGTGGGTGCAGTCAAGAGGAGGGAAGGGGGCGAGGGGCGAGGGGATCAAGCGGTGGGGGCAAATGCAGCGCACCGCACCCCCTGTGCCACCCCCCGCTCGCCTGTGTGCCCTCTGTCCTGGCAGCAGCGGGCTGCGGCGCTGCTGCTGTGTCTGGCAGCGCGCTCCCTCGACCTGCTGCTCCTCGCCTCCGCGCCGCCCTCCCTCGCACTGCTCGTCGCCGCCGTCAGGGGTGCAGGCGGCAGCGGTGAATGTGGAAGGGGTGCCGGCTGTGGGGGTAGGGGGAAAGGGGGAGGAAGAGCTCGGGATGGCGAGAGGGAAGCGGGGGCAGGAAAGCGGGGTGTGCAGACCGGGGGGTGTGCGGGAGGTGCATGGGATGGCGCAGAGAGGGGGCATGGTGTGCATGGAAGGGGCAGCAGTGAGTGCATGTGTGAGTGCACACGTGCGTGCGTGCCTGCCTGTGCCACCCTGCGTCCGGCCCTATGGTTCTCGCACGGTGCGGTGGCAGCGGTGAGGGTGTGGGCAGCACACGCGCTGGCAGGCATGGCGGGGCAGCGGCGTGCGCGGAGGGGCATGGTGCAGGCGGGGGGCGTGCAGGCGCTGCTGGCGCTGCTGGGGGATGCCCTGGCGGGGGAGAGGAGTATTGGGGGGAGGTGGGTGAGGGGGGGTGGGGAGAGGGAGTTGCTGGGAATGGGGAAGGGAGGTGCCGGTGAGAGGGGGGAAGAAGGGGATTGGGGGGCCGAGGAACAAGGCGGAGAGGGCGAGTGGTGTGGCGGGGGAGAGGGGGAGAAGGGGGCGAGGAGGAGGGGAAACAGCACAGCCACCTTGCCACAGCAGTTGTCACCCACCCGCACGCCCAGTCCCCATCCATCGCCTCCTCCCGCTCTCCAGTCTGCCCATGGCGCCCCGCCCCTCAACCACCTCCCCCGCATGCTGCTTGCCCAGCTCACAGCAGCCACAGCCGTGGGTCTGCTCGCCTGCCACACCGACCCACCTCTCCCTTTCCTGCCCGTCACCGCCACCCCTCTCCTCCTCACCATGCTGCTCCGCGCCTCAGCTGCCCTCCCCTGCGTCCCCCCCTCTCACTCCACCCTCCCACCCCCTGCTCCCTTCCTTCCTCCTCCTCTGTCCCTCTTGAACCACGCTCCTGCGCCCTGCCCTGGCCCCTCGCCCCCCGCCACTCTGCTGAATGCGCTCAACACGCGCAGGCAGCAGGTTGCCCGCGAGGTGCTGCTGCTGCTGGCGCGCTGTAGGCAGGGCGGGCGCGAGGAGGGGGGCGGTGGTGAGGGGGAGGGCGCACGGGCAGTGGTGGGGGAGGTGGTGCGGGCGCTGAGGGGCATGGTGGGACGGGTGGGAGAGATGAAGGGGCTGCAGCAAGAGCAGAGCACCAGAGGGGAGGGGGGGATGATGCAGCAGCAGCAGCAGCGGCTGCAGGAGCAAGAGCAGGAGTATGGGTGGTGGAGGGAGCAGGTGGGGGTGGCACGGCAGCAGGCAGCACTGGTGGAGGTGGTATGTGAGGTGGCGGGCAGTGCAGGCGGGCTGCACGCTGCCGTGGGTGGCGGGGCCGTGCACGCTGTGAGCGCCGTGATGGCCGTGCTGGCCGTGCTGGCAGCGCGCCGGGGCGAGGGGCACGAGGGGTTGGAGAGCGAGCAGGGGAGGCGCGAGGGGGGCAGGGAGGATGCAGATGGGAGCATGGCGGTGGGAGGGGGGGCATGCAGAGGGGGGCGTGAAGGTTGCGAGGATGAGAGGGGTGAGGAGGTGTGCTGGTGGGTTGAGGAGGGGAGAGTGGAGGCAGGAGATGGGGAGAGCGGGGGAGGGGGAGAGTGGAGAGGAATGATGATGGGAGTGAAGGATGGGGTGGAGGAGCAGGAGGACGGCAACGAAGGAAGGGGGGAGGGTGAGAGTGCAGAGGGAGAGGATGGGTGGAGTGAGGAGAGTGAGGAGAGCGAGGAGGATGAGACGCCTCTGTGGCATCTGTGGCAGATGCATATCGACGGGCATGTGCATGGGCGTGTGGATGGGCGTGTGGATGGGCGTGTGGATATGGATAGGCTTGCTTCGGATGGTGGGGAGAGTGCGAGTGACAGTGACATGGATGAGGGGGAGGAGGGGGAGGAGGGGGAGGAGGAGGATGAGGAGGGTGAGGATGAGGAGGAGGACGAGGAGTATGAGGAGTGGGGAGGAGAGGAAGCTGGGGTTGCGGATGGGGATGGCGAGGAGGGGGGGGGAGAGGAGAGGTGGGGAGTGCAGCGCGGAGAGGCTGGGCGTTCACAGGTGCAGCTGAGGCTGCTGCAGACTCTGTTCGGCCGGGGGTTGGGCGGCGGGACGAGTGAGAGTAGTAGTGGGGATGAGAATACTGAGGAGAGTGAGAATGAGGAGAGTGAGAGTGGAGAAAGCGAGGGAGAGAGTGATAGAGAGGAGAGTGAGGGGATCGATGAGGAGAATGAGGAGTGTGAGGAGATGGAGGGAGATTGTGAGGACAAGAGTAAGGATAGTGAGGGCAAGAGGGAGGGTGTAAATGGCAAAGAGGGAGACAGCGAGAGTAGGGAGAGTGAGGGAGGGGGTGCAGACTTGAGTGATGGGGAGGGCGGGGGCATGGCAGGGGAGGGGAGTGGGGCGGGCGAGCACTGTGCGCGTGCTGCTGTTGAGGGCAGGCGGGGCGCTGAGGAGGATGCGGTGGACATGGAGATGAGCGGGGTGGGGGGGCGGGGGATTCATGGGCGATGGTGGGGAGGTGGAGTGGAAGACGAGAGAAAGGCTGTGGAATGCCGCATTGATGGCGCTGATGGCGCACTGGCAGCAAACTCGGCGGCGGTGGTGGCAGCAGCACAGAGGGTTGAGCAGGAGGGAGCAAGTGTGCGGTGTCCACACGGCAGCCGGCATTGCCTGGCTTGGCTGCCTGCGTGGTGGGGGGAGAGGGAGGAGAGGGAGGGCAGGGAGGGCAGGGAGGGTAGGGAAGGAGGTTCAGAGAGAGATGGTGGTGGGTGTGTGATGTTGGATGCAGAGACTGGCAGGGGCGATGGTGGCAAGGGACAAGTTGCCGTGGAGGACGAGCGTGGTGTCAGGAGCTGTGGTGCGAGGTGCAGTGCGGTGGCTGTGTGGGACGCACGTGAGGGGAAGGGCGCAGAGAGCGGGCAGGTGATGAGGCGGCAGGGTGGGGCAAAGCGGAAGGCGGAGGAAAAGGAGAGGGAGGGGGTGGAGCGTGAGGGATGCAAGAGTGGTGCTGTGGCTGTGTGCTGGGAGAGGGGTGATGATACGTCAGTGGAAGGGGAAGAGAGGTGTGGGGGGAACATACGGGGGAATGGGCGAGGGCTGGAAGATGCGTGTGGAGGGGAGGGAACGGCAGCAGTAGCTGCATCAGCATCACAGGCAGGGGCAGAGCAGGGTGGGTCGGAGAAGCAAGGGGCATGGAGGGCAGAGAAAGTGGAGGCACTGAGGGAGGAGGCCCGGCAGGAGCAGCGCCTGCTGTGGCGGCGCTGCCTGCACCTGCTGGCTCTGCTCTCCTCTGATTGGACGGCCTGCTCCCACATGGTGCATGCCGGCCTGCTGCCTGCCCTGCTGCAAGCCATCGCCCGCCACCCCTGGCAGCGCCACCCCGAGGTGGGCGCTGAGGGCACTGGGGGCACTGTGCTGGGCAGAGGCGGGGAGGGAGCGGCGGCGGTGGAGGTGGTGAGCAACGTGGTGAGGGTGCCGTGGCTGAGGCACACGGCTGCAGAGGCAGGCGCGCTGGCAGTCATGCAGAGGGCAGCACGGCTCATGCAGGGGCGGGGTGGGGTGGTGCATGGTGAGGCGAGGAGGCATGCAGTGCAGGCAGCGATGCGGCTGTGCGATGTCAAGTATGCCGTGCATGGGTGAACCTTGCTATCTGCACCGCACAGCAGGCGCTACCTGTGAGCTGCTGTGAGCATGTGCCAGAGAGCCTTGTGGCTGCATGCCACTGACTGATGTTGCTGCAGTCTTTGAAACCAACCTTCTTAGGGCGTGTTCCTACGGCCTCATATCAGGAAACCTTGTATCAAGAATGGAATTTATGCCTGGTAAAACTAGCGAGAGGTTTTGGGTTTAGGGGAATTTCAGTGTGAGCCTGATACGAGGTTCTTTTGATACGTACGAGGTGTAGGAACACGCTGCTGTTAGTTACAATAACCAGAAAATGTACAACTTGATTCGAAGGGTTTCGTTTCCCCGTTCATAGAATATGATGAGTTGTATGTAACTGGGAGCATTCGTGAATCACATCGTTATGTCGTACATATATGTTTTACATTTGTGGTTAGCTGTAAGGAAATTCCCTTTTCCTTACTTCGCATCCTTGCTCAACGCGTACATCACTGTAGCACCTCAGCCAGCACCGTTACCACTCGTGACCATCGCATCATTCATCATCCCGCCAATTTCGCACATCGCATCCCGACCTCACGGCTCGGCTGGTAACCCGCGCTCCGGGCCTACGCTTCGACACTTTCCCAACCTCAGTCCCAGGCTCGTCGCGCGACCATTACCGTTACCACTGTAGTTTCGCTATATATTCTTCGCTCATGCCTTCGCTCATTGTACTCTTGCTTCGATAGTGCAATTCTCGTTCGTTCACTCAATTGCACTCGTAACATTAGCCAATCTTAGGGTTAGGTACTTGTATAATGTTTCTGTTCATTCTCATTCCGCTTGCACAAACTTTGACATTGTATCAAAGTTTGTGGGGTGTCTCATGTACTTGATGACGTGCAGTTGACCTGGCATCGCCCATTCCTTCAGCATCGTTGCGATTGGGAGACACTGCCAGGCCCACTACGTAGATGGCAGCTAAGAGGGTAACGAAGTATCTGGCGACTACATCAGACATAAAATTTGTGCTTGGAGGGAGCTAGCCAGTGCGACTTACTAGGCACACTAACGCGTCATGGGCGGACGACGAGACGACTCGCAGGTCTTCTCAGGAATACTATTTTAGCCTGGGTTCTAGTGTTATCTCGTGGAGGTCGACACGTACGTTGTCTGTCGCCTCTTCTAGTGCTAAGGCCGAGAACTACACTGGTGCCATGGCTGCCCAGGAGCTCTGCTGGCTGACGTTCTTGCTCACTGACTTAGGTGAGAAGCCTAGCTTTGCCACAACCTTGTTCGTTGTCAAAAGGGTCATGATCCTCCTTTGTTGAGAGCTTTGACTGGAGAGCAGAATGTAGCACATCGAGTTGCGGTACTTCCTTATGCTAGAGCTGCAGCGACGCGGCCAGGCACGCTTGGTCTTTGTTGTCTCTGTCAAATGTTATATTTGTTGATAGGCTGTAGTGAAGCATGCTCTAGAGGGTAGAACCCGCTTAGGGTTTCCCATATGTATCCCTAATCCTGCTAGTCCATCATCATTCCGCTGTTTCACGTTCTAACAGGGCCTCAGATGTCAGCGAAAAAAGGCTGATTTAGGGTCGGAAGGCTGATTTTTCAGACATGGGGAGAATGTATGGGCTGATATTTCAGCTTTTTTTTTTTTTGTATTGGCTGATATTTCAGAGATTTTTTCCAAGTGTACACTGATTGCTCAGCGTACTAACGAGGGTGTAGGCTGAAATCACGCTATTTCTGATTCGTGTAGGAGCCGTGAGTTTTGGCTGTCTAGGTACATCCCCCGTCAGTCACGCGGAAATAGCCATCTACAGCGCTGATGCAGTGGGAAATCGAATTTTCCCATCGATTCGGTGCAGAAGTTCCGCAGCAGAACAACGCACAGTAAAGCACCGCGTGCCCCCAAGTCAAGCACCCCCACCTCACCCACAGCACTTAATTGAAAATGGACTCTAGCTTTGTTCATCCTTAGTTTGTAAGTGAGGCTGATTAGTCAGCCTTTTTTTAAACCAGGACACTGAATATTCAACATTTTTTTAAGGTACAACACTGACTGTTCAACCTAGGCAAAAACGAATCTGAGGCCCTGCGTTCTAACATTGTATCATCAAATAAGTCCGTTCTGACTGCGCAACTGCCTTGCTGCCCTACTGTCGCGCTACTGCCACTGTTGTTGCCGTTGCTGAATGCGGTGCCCCGCGCGCGCTGCTTTGTATTGCAGAACTGCCCCACACTGCTGCACTCCCCCGCGTGCGCTGCCCCGCGCGCACTGCCCTGCGCTGCCCCATGGTGCCCAGTGTGCACTACCCTGCGCCCCCCCTCTGCGTTATGTTGAGGGTCTGTAGAGGAGTTGTGGACAGCCTGGCGGAGCTCCATGGCAGCAGCAGCAAGAGGGTCTGCAGAGAAGCAATGTGGAGGGTCAGCAGAGGAGCAATGTGGAGGCTCCCCGGCCGCAGCAGCTCCACGCCAGCTTGACCGCATTGCCTACACGTGGTGGACAGCACATGACGCCCCTGCCTAGCTTTCAATCCGCGCTCACCTCTCGTTCGATCAGAGGGCCCAATTTTGCCAGGTGACGTCGGCTCAGGCTTTTTACAACGCTGTAGTTAGGCGCTACTCCTCCCCCTCTTCTTCCACCCTAGGCCGACTTGTGCTACTGTTTCTCTTCCCCGAGCTGTCTGCCTTTCCCACTGTAGCTGACCTCATGACCCACCTGCACTCACTTGACTCCCACTACCGTGCCGCCTTCACGTCAGAGTTTCTGCATGAGAACCCACCCCCCATGTACCTCATTCTATACTTCCTCACTTCCTCTCCCTAGACCCCGCTAGCCTCGAGCTTGCCTTGTTTGAGACCCGTCTCCTCGAGGCCGAGACCATTGCCCGTGCTATTGCTGTCTCCCGTGGCACCCCTAACACCTCCTTTTTTGAGGGGTGCGCTCCCTCCCTTCTCACGCCCACTGCTGTTGGTTTTGACCTTATCAGTGCTGAGAAGTAGTGGCAGCGGTGGGCGTAGGTGACGGTTGCGGTGGAGGGGGGGGGGGTTGGTGGGGGTCGCGAGGGTGGCGGAGGTGGCGAAGGGGGTGGGAGTGGTAGTCGTGGTAGAGCAGGTGGGCGTGGCAAGGGTGGAGCAGCCGGTAGAGGAGGCAGCTCTGGGGGTGGGCAGCAGCAAGTTGAGGTTGCGAATGTAGGTGCTTGTGGGACTGCTAGCACAGGTGCAGTTCCTGCGGAGGCATAGCTCTCGTTCACACTAAACTCCGGTGCTACTCGGTGCTTCTTCCGCAACTGCACCACAGTCACACCACTCCCGGCACATGTCCTGATTAATATGGCTGACCCCTCCTCTAGACCAGTTGTTGTGCACGACTCCACTGTTCTCCCATGTCCAGCAGTCCCCTCAGGCTCCCTCATAGGTCTCCACCTCCCCTCGTTCGCTACAAAATTGGTGAGTACCCTTCACCTCCAGGATTTGTTGGTCACCACCACGATTCTTGATGGCGAGCGCATGGCAATTGGTATGGACACAAAGACTAGAGACCACCTTGTTACGTTCACACGGAGGCCTGCATACACACTGCACACTGGGTCTGCTCAAGTGCCTGTGTCTAGTCTGGTAGCGGCATCTTCCTCATGTCGGCTATGCACCAGTCCTTGCTCTAGCATCACCGACTTGGTAACCCTTCCCTTCCGCACCAGTCCCTGCTCTAGCACCATCATCTTGGTGGCCCTTCCCTTCCGCACCAGTCCGTGCTCCCGTCTTGGTGACCTTTCCCTTCCGCACCAGTCCCTGCTCCCGTCTTGGTGTCCCTTCCCTTCCACACCTCCGCAACATGCACCCCCATCGCCTTGTTTCTGGCCTCCCGTAGGCCTTGCCTCCACTCCCACCATCGCTTGCACCGCAGTGCACTCCCTGCATCAAGGGGGGGTAGCGTGCTGCTCCTCATTCCTCCTCGTTTCGTCCGACCACTGCTCCTCTGCAAACATTGCACATGGATATGTGGGGCCCAGCCTCCGTCCATGGGCCGGGTCGGAAGTGCTACTTCCAGCTAGTCTTCGACTACTTCATGCGCAACACCACGACGTTTCTTTTAGAGCATAAGAGTGCCCTTCGTACTGTTATGATATCTTGGATCAACGCCGTTCATCCCCAGCTGAGAGCACGTTTCTAGTAGAACCTCCTAGTGCTCCCTCTGTACTCTGACCGTGGTGGCAAATTTGCCTCCGGTGTCCTTGAGGACTTCTCGTGAGGAGGGCAATCCTCAGGCGTTCACTCTTTTGGCCTCTCTACAACAGAATGGGATCGCTGAACGCTGCATTGGCTCGATCATGGAGGTTGCTTCCACCTCCATGTTCCACGCGGATGCTCCCTATTTTATGTGGCATTTTCTGGTCCGATACGCCGTGCATCAGCTTAACCTCTGGCCCCGTGTCTCATTGCCTCCTTCTTTGGATGGGGAAGGTCGGCTATGCGTCTTCGTTTCAGGTCCGAGGTTTGCTTGCCGTTGTCTACGATCCTACCACGGGCAAGCTATCTCAACACAATATTCTTTGCATCTTCCTTGGTCTTCCCACTAACATCGCTGGCTGGCAGTTTTACCACCCAGCCACTCGCCAAGTCCTGTCCTCCGGCGACTTCACCTTTGACAGGTCGAATTGCTATTACAGCCTCTACACCTACCGCAATTCCCCCGTGCCTCCCTCGCCCCTCTTCCTGGTTCTAGGTCCCCCCCATGTAGACCCCCTCCCCCCCCCTCGTCCTGCTCCCTCAGGTGTCACCCCGCTCCCCTTGGTTAGGCCTTTGGAGGTCTCCTCAGACCCGTCTGGCCCGGTTGAGGGGGGTGATTATGCTGCAGGTGTCATAGCGGCCTGTTGCCGCTCACTGCGCTTGGATAGCTCTCTTGTTTTCCACCTCGGCCGTCCTCACCTACTCTGAAACCTGTCGCTGTGGACCCCAGTGCCGTTGGGGTTGGTGACACTGGAGGTGCGGGCTCGGGGGGTGCTAGTTCTGGGGGTGGTGAC